CAGCAGCTGCCAGAAGGCCCACGCTGCAGGTCGGCTTGGGGTTGTGCTTGGCTTTTATGTGCTGCGATCGGCATGACGGTGAAGCAATTTGCATACGTGTTTGCAGTTGCGAAGCGACAGATGGAAAACCTGCCTGGCTTGCGGTCGGCACTCCGTTATTGGCCCTGGCGTTTGGGGCCCTTCCGGACGGCCCGTGCAGCCGGCTCGCACACGCGCGTCCAGACTCCAGACCTGGTCAAAGTTGTAGACCAAAAGCGAGTTTGCCTTGCCGTCCTCAAAACCGAGAACACGTATTCCTTCACAGCCAAGACTTGGGGCGCATCTGTGCGCAAATGTTTCCCTGGCTTGCCGACCTTGCGGACTTGCGCAGGAACTTGCCCGCGCGCTTGTACAAACTGCCCGGTGTTTTGGAGAGGGACAGCGTGCACAGCGTCACGGATATCCGGTCAGGAAGCTTGCCGGGCGAACGGCCTGAGCCTTTGTCGCCACATTGCACGGACGCAAGTACTCACCGAAGGGCCTACAGCCTGCAGAGATGCAGATTAGGTTTTGCGGGATCAGGAAATTATTGGCAATGCCCCCCCCCCCTCTCCCCCTCCCACCCCCCACACATGCCAATGAGGCTCTCGCTGTACATTGTGTCACCCTTTCGCGCAACCTTCCGCAACGCTTTCACGGACCTACCGCACACCCGGAATAACTACCTTTTTTAATGTTGCTTCGAACTCGCCAGTATAAATTTAAAACAAGCGCTTTAGGACAGACCCCATTTGTGCAAAAACGCTCGACGAGACATTTGCTCCATGCAGCCGTAATGCCCTAAAGCCCTATCCGCAAATACAGCTGGGTCCGGGTACATCCCTTGTCGTCCATGCCCCTTATGCAAATTGGTTTGGGGTTTAGGGTTGAGGGTTTAGGGTTTAGGGTTTAGGGTTTAGGGTTTAGGGTTTAGGGTTTTAGGGTTTAGGGTTTAGGGTTTAGGGTTTAGGGTTTAGGGTTTAGGGTTTAGGGTTTAGGGTTTAGGGTTTAGGGTTTAGGGTTTAGGGTTTAGGGTTTAGGGTTTAGGGTTTAAAGTTTAGTGTGTAGGGTTTAGGGTTTAGGTAAGGGTGCCCTTTTCGGTTCTTTTTGTACAGGAACCCAGAACCCAACCGGGGCCAAAAAAGGGTGCTCCTCGGCAGTCCAGTTCATGGCTCAAGATCCAGAAACATGAGTTGGAAGTTACTAGTAAGCGTGGGAAAAAGACGATTATCCCTCAGGATTCAGAACTAAGGTTTTCAAGGACGAGAACGCATGACCGCACGCTTGCGTCCTGCCCATGCCACCAACTCCAAACGTGAAGTGGTCCGTGGAGTTGTAGGTGCAGTGCCTGGCCAAAGCTGCGCAACGCGCAATACAGTCTTGATAGTGAAGATTTCCCAGTCGCCAGCAGCGCGTCAATCCGCTGATAGTCATGGTACAGTCGAAGGTTCAAGGTTTGCAGCTTGGGGGTTCACCCCTCCGGTAGGTAGTTATAAGCAGGATTGAGGCAACCAGTACAGCTACCTACTTGGAGGTTCATGGTACTTCTGAACCAATCATAACTGTACTTATAACCCACTTATAAGCCCCTAAGGGCCACCTACTTGTCTCTCGCACTGCTTGTCATGCGCTGGGCGTGCCAATGCCCATCCGGGATGAGGATGCACTCGCCAGGCTTCTGCTCATGCACCTGCACCAGGGAGCCTTAGCATCAGACCGCACGTCACCAAACCATGATCCAGGATAGTAGAGTCCAACTAATAGAATGTAGTGTTTATGAAGTCTTATGCTGTTATATACACATGCGGGGGTTTCCGAAATTAGGAGTACCTTATTGGGGTCCTGATTCTATGGGGATCCTACTATTGGGGATCTGTGCCAAATTTTCGAAAACCCCCATATGTACATGTATATGTATATATATATATATATACAGCTCGGGCTCAGACCATGCTCGGCCTGAACAGGGCAGGAGCTTTTCGAGATTAGAGATTCGAGAGAACGGTACCCGATGCCCGGCCTGCTCATGCCCTATACTTACAGTCCTTCACAGGGGCTATAGTCGGGCTATCATCCCTTTTAAGGATTGTTAGTATAAGGGGGAACATCCCAATGACTGCACCCTAAACACTACACCCCGACTACGTAGCCGGCAGCAGAGCTTCAGGCTTCGGAAAATGGTGGCTTAGAGGTTCGGGGTTTCGGGCCTGTGCTTACATATCTACATCTACACATGTAGACGTATTCATAGTAACAGAGATTAACAGACATCAAGAGGGTTTAGGGCTTTCAGGGTTGAGGGTCTCGCCCGTAAATCCTTTCGAATCTTGGCTGCACTTAGCAGGGTAGCTAGAAATTCAGTTTTTAGCTGCCTTATTAAGAAACCCAATAAACCCAAAAAGGCTAAGGATCTAAAGTTACAGTAAAGCACCACAGAGGAATGATTGGGCGTGTTGGGCACGGGGGCCTCCTGTTGCTGCAACTCTGCCTCCGGCACCCTCGCCAGGGCCGTGGCCGGTGAGCCGGCATGGAAATACCTTTAGAGGCCCGGTTCTCAACTCGAACTTAGGCTTTTTAGAGGTCTACAGGCGTTTTGAGGTTCGGGTTGGGAAGTTTAGTTTTATGCGGGTTTTTGAGGGTTTTGGAGGTGAGGTTTCTGAGGCTTCTGGGTCTTTGGGTGTCCTTAAGCCCTGCACCCTCGAAATCCAACCCCTGGGCCCTCAAGCCCATCAGCCCAGAAGCTCTGGGTTCCGTCTACATGCTGAACACTGAGGTTATTCTTCTTCTTGTTGCTACTATTTCTATGAGTCAATTTTGCCTCCGAAGTCCGAAGTCCGAAGCCTCAGCATTCATTGGTTGGTGCTTTAAGGGTTTGGGTCTACAGCTTGACGAGGATCAAGGTGTTGGAGGTTCCAAAACCTAACAAGCAACATGACGCCCCGGAGCCTCAAAAGCCTCTCTCTCGTTCTATCTGGGAGCTGCGCACCATCTCTTCCGCCCGGCCAGTAACAGCAACCTGGGAAGGCGACCGGTTCATGTTGAGGAGTCAGTTATTTGGGCATCATGTTTCCCAATGCATGAGTTTTCTACATAAGCGGGGGTTTAAAGATACACGAGCAGATCCGATAAGCGCACTCTGAAGAGCGAATGCGGAGTTGTAGCACAGACCCTGAACAGCCCTTGAACCCTTTACCCTTTACCCTTTACCCTGTAACCCTAAACCCTAAACCCTAAACCCTAAACCCTAAACCCTAAACCCTAGAGAGGGGCGAAGCCCCACCGGCTTGGCCAATAACCTTGGCATTGTTTACGTCAGCATCAATACCCTCTTCAAGTACGCGTGATATGCAACATGAAGTCTTTTGCCGAAATCTAGGCTGACTACTCAAGACCCTGGACCCTCACAGTCTTAACGTCTTAAGACCCAACAAGCCCTGAACCGGAGCCACAGCAGGCTAAGGCTTGAGGCAGAGGTGCGGCTTTGGGGCTCGGGCGCCTTCAACGCAAAGCCCTTGCACATGTGAGGAGATCCCGGGGGTCGGGGGAAGCGAGGGGGGAGGGGTGAAGATCCCCCACCGGAAACTTAGACTCTAACCCCACCAGTGACCCCGAAGCCCTGACCCTTTCCCAGGACCCGTGAGTCCCCGACCAGTTGCGCTCGTGCCGGTGGAAGGCTAGTCCCCCAGCTCCCTGCTCCTTCGACGAAGCTTCTTAGAGGTTCTCTCACATGGGGAGGAGGGCGTTTAGCAGTTTACTGGAAGCTTAGGGGAAGTTTAGGGGGAGTTTCGGGGAAGTTTCACCCCGGGGAGCAAAAAAAAAAAAAAAACGCGCTGTTTTGTTCGGAAGCGAAGCTCAACTTCTGGCCTGTTCTGGCAGAGGGCAGACGGCCCTCAGAGATAAGAAGGTATTTGGCGTACGCCATGTCTTTCTCTGCATGCATACTCCACCAAATCTCCAGCGGCTGCAACCACAAGGCTCAAATATCGTAGGTCAGGTGCAAACCGGCGTTCTCTGGTGTGAAGCTCGTTTGGGGTAACCCTGTTTGAGGCTTAACTTTCCCCGGTGCAGGCATACCATTGGCTCTGCACGTCGAAGATCGCATCTACCTGGTCCTCAACCATTCTTTGCGTTGAAAGTGCGTGAGGGGAGTCCTCGACAGCTGTTCAGGGTCAACTTCATTCAGGGAAGGGTTTAGGGTTTACGGTTTACGGTTTCAGGGGTTCAGGGGTTTAGGGGTTTAGGGGTTCAGGGGTTTAGGGTTTAGGGTTTAGTGTTTAGGGTTTGGGGTTTGGGGTTTAGGGTTGGGGGTTGAGGGTTTAGGGTTTAGGATTTAGGGCTTAGGGCGGTGCTTGGGGTGGTCTTGAGACGATCGGCAAAAGAATGGCTCAGGCCCCTGTAGCCAGGTCATGCGGACATTAACCCAGGCACAGCAGCCTGCCAGCTTAGCAGCATCTGGGCATAGGATGAGATAGGCGCTGACAGAACAGTTGCAACCGGTCTGGCTCTTTGAGACAGACTCTGATCAGGAAAGCGCGGATGGAACTTGTAGGGTAGAGTCACATAGGATCTATAGGGCGCAAAGCAAAGGCTGCAGCGGCACGAATCGAGTAGCAACATGTGCTCGTCTGACTTGAGAATGCAGCAACTGTTGATCCGTCTTGCTGTCGTTGCTACTAATGCCACGTCAAGATCAGAGCCCAGCATCGCGCGCTTGTGCCGGAAGATTCGTCAAACGCTGATAGGCTACTACTGAAGACCATGACAAACTACAGCTTGCGCGGCTGACAGACATTCAGCCGGCGCAGCCAGCAATGGTCAGCGGCTCTCGGCTGTTAAAGGCGGTGCTCGGGAACTAGACGACCTCACGGCCCTACGCACCCTTTGAAAGACTTCGCAATGATGAGCAGCGTCAAGGGTATTGCCATATGAACTGCTAGGTAGGATGCTGCCCTTGCACCGTCCCAGAACAGAAGGTCGGAGGGCTATGCTTTCTCCGTAGTCACGACTGGCGGGTGGATGAACTCATGCAGCGGCTCCCAATAGGCAGCGCCAGCAATCTGGTAGGTGTTCATGTGCTCTCCCCTGCGCAGGGCTGCACAAAGGAAGGCCTGACCCGGTAACCCCCACGCAGCCACGGGAATTTATATAGTCTTTACTAGCAACACGGCAATGCGAGACAAAAGGCCTGTGATGCGTCCTGGGCCAGAAATCACAAGCCCTCACCCTACGTGTATGAAATGGGGGTGCCTAGATTCAGCCTGGCCCCCCCCCTTCTGTGAGGAGGGTTTATGGCTTAGGGCCGGATGTAGATCTTACTGTCTTGAGTCTTCGCGCATAAGGGCGGGCTCCCTCCCCTGAACCCTACACTGCAGGGTTTTGGGTTTTGGGTTTAGGGTTCAGGGTTTTGAGGTGTTGAGGTCGTCCCTCAGCGCTCAACCCACGACCCTTTCCAAAAACCCATCGCCAAGCCCTAAATCCGAAACCCGGCCCCAAACCCCAGCGCGCCGCAAAAACCTGCCTGAACCCTGAAACCCTGAAACCCTGAAACCCTGAAACCCTCAAACCCTCAAACCCTAAACCCCTTAAACCCAAAACGCTACAACCCTAAAACCCTGAACCCCTAAAACTCAAAACCCCTAAACCCTAAGCCCCTAAAACCGTAAAACCCTATGGCCCCTAAAACCCCGAAAACCCTAAAGCCCTAAAGCCCTAAACCCTAAACCCTAAACCCCTAACCCCTGAACCATAAACCCTAAACCCTCAACCCTACTGGCCCCCGGCCTGGCGAAGCCTTAGTTGCTGAGTTCATAAGCCCCAAAAAGTTTGCACTTTCAGTTCTATAGGGGATTATAGTATCCCAAAAAGTGTAAAGTGTACTCATTCAGCTTAGCCCTAAGCCCTAAGCCCTAAGCCCTAACCCCTAAACCCTAAACCCTAAACGGCCCCCGGCCTGGCGAAGCTGTGGAACCGGGTGTCCAGGGTCGCCCGATGGGTCTTCGCGACGTGGCAGAGGTCTGACATGCAGGAGGCCGGCACAACCTTGCAGGGCGTTTTGGGGGTTTGGAGTTTAGGGGTTTAGGGTTAGGGTTTAGGGTTTTAGTGTTTATGGTTTAGGGGCTAGGGTTTGCGGTTTGGGGTTTAGGGTTTAGGGTGTAAGGTTTAGGGTTTAGGGTTTGGGGTTTAGGGTTTAGGGTTTAGGGTTTAGGGTTTAGGGTTTAGGGTTTGGGCTTTAGGGTTTGGGATTTAGGGTTTAGGGCAGGCACAACCTTGCAGGGCTTTTAGGGTTTAGGGTTCAGGGTTTAGGGCGTTGGGTTGCTTTTAGGGTTTAGGGTTCAGGGTTTAGGGCAAGTTGGGTTGATTTCAGGGTATAGGGCTCAGGGTTTAGGGCAAGTTGGGTTTCACGTTTGGGGCCCACGGTTGCTTTTTAAGAGGATTGAAAGGTTTCTCGATTCAGGGGTCTTTTGGGCCCTCAACCCTCTTACATTCAACGCTCTGGCAAGCGCAACACCCCAAAGCCTTTAAAAAGTACCTCAAAGGCGCTCCAAAAAGCCAAGCCTAAACGCCTAAACCCCTAAACCTCTAAACCCCTTAACCCCTAAAGCCCTAAACCCCTAAACCCCTAAGCCCCTAAGCCCCTAAACCCCTAAACCCCTAAACCCCTAAACCCCTAAACCCCTAAACCCGAAAAAACCCCTAACCCTAAACCCTAAGCCCTACACCGTAAACAAGCAAAACCTGTAACCTTGGTAGGGCTTTGGGCTTGCCTGGTCGTTGGCCGCGGAGAGGAGGCAGAGGCCCAAGCGGCCTTTGGGCCTGCCACTTCGATTGATAGGGGTTTGGGTTCAGTGTGTGTGTGTGTGTGCTATATATATATATATATGAAGCACAATATGAAATAATAATAATAATAACAACATATATGTATATAGTGTATGAGCTAGCCTCTACATACGACTGCGTTTAGGACTGAAGGTGTCTGTTTTGCAGCTGCCATCTCCCGAAATCTCCAGAGCATTACAGAGCGAGCCCCCCTCAAGATACGATTTTTGCTTTCCTCGACTGCCTGGACCTCACACAACCCTCCCTGCAAGTGACCCCGCCGACTGCATGTTGATTTTGCTTCTGACCAGCTTGCTTCGATTCGGCTTGCAGCCTTCAGAAGTTAGAACCTTAAAAGGCTGCAGCAAAGAGAGTTGGTTGCGGCGTTACAAAAGGCCAGGAGCCCGGGGTCTGCCGCACGCAGAGTCAAAGAGTACGTGGATCTTGCGCCATGCGCCAGCGGGGAGGCTGCGATGATCGCCGGCAATGGGGCTTGCAAGCTGAGCGTTGTGGCAAGCACCTGCAAACTGATCCTGAATCTTGCGCCATGCGCCAGAGGGGAGGCTGCGACGGTCGCCGGCAATGGGGCTTGCAAGCTGAGCGTCGCGGCAAGTACCTGCAAACTGATCCTGAATCTTGCGCCATGCGTCTATGGGAAGGCTCCGATGATCGCCGGCAATGGGGCTTGCAAGCTGAGCGTTGTTGCAAGCACCTGCAAACTGATCCTGCATCTTGCGCCATGCGTCAGCGGGGGGGCTGCGATGGTCGCCGGCAATGGGGCTTGCAAGCTGATCTGTGGGAAGGCTCCGATGATCGCCGGCACTGGGGCTTGCAAGCTGAGCGTTTTGGCAAGTACCTGCAAACTGATCCTGAATCTTGCGCCATGCGTCTGTGGGAAAGCTCCGATGATCTCCGGCAATGGGGCTTGCAAGCTGAGCATTGTTGCAAGCGCCTGCAAACTGATCCTGAATCTTGCGCCATGCGCCAGCGGGGAGGCTGCGATGGTCGCCGGCAATGGGGCTTGCAAGCTGAGCGTCGTGGCAAGTACCTGCAAACTGATCCTGAATCTTGCGCCATGCCTCTGTGGGGAGGCTGCGATGGTCGCCGGCAATGGGGCTTGCAAGCTGAGCGTTTTGGCAAGCACCTGCAAACTGATCCTGAATCTTGCGCCGTGCGTCTGTGGGAAGGCTCCGATGATCGCCGGCAATGGGGCTTGCAAGCTGAGCGTTGTGGCAAGCACCTGCAAACTGATCCTGAATCTTGCGCCATGCGTCTGCGGGAATGCTTCGATGATCGCCGGCAATGGGGCTTGCAAGCTGAGCATTGTGGGAAGCACCTGCAAACTGATCCTGAATCTTGCGCCGTGCGTCTGTGGGAAGGCTCCGATGATCGCCGGCAATGGGGCTTGCAAGCTGAGCGTTGTGGCAAGCACCTGCAAACTGATCCTGAATATTGCGCCATGCGTCTGTGGGAAGGCTCCGATGATCGCCGGCAATGGGGCTTGCAAGCTGAGCGTTGCGGCAAGCACCTGCAAACTGATCCTGAATCTTGCGCCATGCGTCTGTGGGAAGGCTCCGATGATCGCCGGCAATGGGGCTTGCAAGCTGAGCGTTGTGGCAAGCACCTGCAAACTGATCCTGAATCTTGCGCCATGCGTCTGCGGGAAGGCTTCGATGATCGCCGGCAATGGGGCTTGCAAGCTGAGCGTTTTGGCAAGCACCTGCAAACTGATCCTGAATCTTGCGCCATGCGCCAGCGGGGAGGCTGCGATGATCACCGACCGGGGTCTTGTTTGGCGCTGGCTTCGAAGAGTGGCCCTGCAGCAGCTGTGTTTCGACATCTGTCGAAGGACATCCCGGCAAGGAAAGTTCCGCCCCTACTTCTTGCACCGCCCTCTGCTGCATAAGGACTCGCTGCACAGCCCAGCTTGTGGATGGCCTGATGTCAAACGGGTCTTCACGCAGGGCAGGCTCCGAATTTTTGTTCAGCACGATCCAGCCCTTCAGATTCAGCCCTGTGGTCTGGTACTCGATTCTCGCGGCTTTGCAGTGAACCTCTTCCACATTGATGTAGCTTCCTGGGCGCAAAATGCCCAAGACTGCCGCTTCTTTGGACTTGGCAGCTCGCACTTTCACCTCTTGTAGCACTTTCGCCCTGCCAGGGCGCACGGGCTGCTCATGCAGCACAGCCTGGCAGTGTTGAAAGGTTACACTCATGTCTGTGCTGCTCAAACTCAAGCTCCAATCTTTCCATCATTTAATTTGCTGAACGTATCCTATACCACATGTGCGGCTCCATGCAAGAACTCATGAGGCCCTGACCGTTGCCCGGCGCTCTCGCCCTGGAGCTTGCAACTCCTGGCGCTCTTCATCGCACCAGCTGCAACTACCCGTGAACCTCCAAGCAACAAATCTCAACAACCCTAAACCCTAAACCCTAAACTCTAAAACCCTCAAAACCCTAAGGTCTGGCTTAAAAGGAGCGGCGGGTCCTCCAGTCGGAGCTTCTGCTGAATTTGCTGCTGTCCGCTCAGGGACTGGCGGCCCAGGAGCCGAGGATCCTCCACACCATTGCGGCAAACGGCCGCAGCGGAGTCCATGGCCCCCAACCCACCTCCTCCCCTGCACTGTAGGCAGAAAGAGCGGCCAGACCAGCATAAACTCGTAAACTTCGCACGATTATAGACGCTTCATTTTGTGCAAATATGCAAAGTCTTTCAAGTTGTCTCACGCGCCGGAGACCTGTTGAGCCTGGAGAATGTCAGAGCAAGGCGTCGCACGGCGGTGCACAATGTCATCTGAAAGCTGAGAGACAGCTTTAGCCACTGCTGGCATACAGTCCTGATTCCACGGCTTGCAATTGCAAGCTACAGTGGCCTAGGTACCCCCCATGAACTTAGGGACCCTGGAAGTAGCGTGGGGCCTGAGCGCCTTTTCGGCTTTCGGATCGTTGGCCATATTTCCCCTTCTCCGAGAAGTAGTGGCCCCAGACTCGCACCTATATTAAACCTCCACACCCCCCCCCCAAAAAAAAAATAAATAAATAACAAAATATCTATATATATATATATACCGGATGTCAACTTTCTTACAAGGGCCCCTCCTGGATTTCCTTCAGGACTCGGTTCCCTTGCTGTAGCCAAGCAATGACATGTCAAAGCCCCAAGCTCCGAACCCCTAAGCCCTAAGCCCTAAATCCTAAACCCTAAACCTTTACACCCTAAACCCTAAACCCTAAACCCTAAACCTCTCTTTCATATATAATTTAAATGTTAAGGAGTTACTGGGCAAGGTCATTTTTTTACTGGGCAAGGTCATTTTTTACTGGGCAAGGTCATTTTTTTACTGGGCAAGGTCATTTTTTTACTGGGCAAGGTCGTTTCGTCAAAAAAACGACCTTGCCCAGTAAAAAAATGACCTTGCCCAGTAAAAAAATGACCTTGCCCAGTAAAAATGTTACTGGGCAAGGTCATCTTTTTACTGGGCAAGGTCATCTTTTTACTGGGCAAGGTCATCTTTTTACTGGGCAAGGTCATCTTTTTACTGGGCAAGGTCATTTTTTTACTGGGCAAGGTCATTTTTTTACTGGGCAAGGTCATTTTTTTACTGGGCAAGGTCATTACTGGGCAAGGTCATTTTTTTACTGGGCAAGGTCATTTTTTACTGGGCAAGGTCATTTTTTTATTGGGCAAGGTCATTTTTTTACTGGGCAAGGTCATTTTTTACTGGGCAAGGTCATTTTTTTACTGGGCAAGGTCATTTTTTACTGGGCAAGGTCATTTTTTTACTGGGCAAGGTCATTTTTTTACTGGGCAAGGTCATTTTTTTACTGGGCAAGGTCATTTTTTTACTGGGCAAGGTCATTTTTTTACTGGGCAAGGTCATTACTGGGCAAGGTCATTTTTTTACTGGGCAAGGTCATTACTGGGCAAGGTCATTACTGGGCAAGGTCATTTTTTTACTGGGCAAGGTCATTTTTTTACTGGGCAAGGTCATTTTTTTACTGGGCAAGGTCATTTTTTTACTGGGCAAGGTCATTTTTTTACTGGGCAAGGTCATTTTTTTACTGGGCAAGGTCATTTTTTTACTGGGCAAGGTCATTTTTTACTGGGCAAGGTCATTTTTTACTGGGCAAGGTCATTTTTTTACTGGGCAAGGTCATTTTTTTACTGGGCAAGGTCATTTTTTTACTGGGCAAGGTCATTTTTTACTGGGCAAGGTCATTTTTTTACTGGCAAGGTCATATTTTACTGGGCTAGGTCATTTTTTTACTGGGCTAGGTCATTTTTTACTGGGCAAGGTCGTTTCGTCCAAAGGTGTTTAGGATTTCCGGGCCTAATGGTTAGGGTTTCAAGGCCTCACGGCCTGGTGTTTAGGGTTTCAGGGCCTCAAGGCCTGCAGTTTAGGGTTTCACGGCCTCATGGCCTAATATTTAGGTTTCAGGGTTTCAGGGCCTCAAGGCCTAGTGTTTAGGGTTTCAGGGCCTCAAGGCCTGGTGTTTAGGGTTTCAAGGCCTCAAGGCCGGGTGTGGCTTGTGTTAAGTGCTTGGTGCTACGGCGTGATTGGTGCATCCGAAGAGAAAATAAGTAACCTTCTATTTTCTTAATGTTATGGGATTCTTTGGGCGGGTGGGTTTTTTCCGTTGCCTAGATACACTGCTGGCCTAGTAAATGCTCGAACTTGAGATGCTGAACCCTAAACCCTAAACCCTAAACCCTAAACCCTAAACCCGCGCCCTAAACCCTAAACCCCACAAAAAACCTACAGTCTCCGCGGCCTTTCCGGCAGCTCAGCGAGTCCGGAGCCGATCCTGGTAGCCGCTCGAGCTTGCGGCATCTTTGTGGGTCTGGGGCTTCGGGGCCTTAGGGTTTAGGGTTTTGGGTTTAGAGTTTCGGGTTTAGGGTTTAGGGTTTAGAGTTTAGGGTCTAGGGCTGGATCTGACGAAGGGTTCGGCCTTAAGCGCAGTGCTAAACAACGCGTGTTAGTTGCCCGTGTGGCAAATTCAAGGTCCAGGGTTAGGGTTTAGGGTAATCTAGGGGTCGCACTTAACTAGCAAATACTATAACAACCCCCACAACTCCCAAAACCCTAGACCCTAAACCCTAAACCCTAACCCCTAAACCCTGAACCCTAAACCCTCTTCTATTGATTGAGGCCCCTTTTGTAGACTGAATAATCTGCTTGGAGTTGTCGTGGAGGGCTCTGCGACTCTTGGCTCGAAGGGTTTAGGGGTTTAGGGTTTAGGGTTTAGGGCTTGGGGTTTAGGGTTTTGGGTCTAGGGTTTGGGGTTTTGGGTTTAGGGTTGAGGGTTTGGGGTTTTGGGTTTAGGTTGGGTTCGGCCGGTCCACACTAACAGTCACCACCAGCAGACCCACAAATAAAAGCACCCGGTAAATGCCAAAAAACTGACTGAGATTCCTGCTATTCCTGGTGCTATTCCTGGTGCTATTTCTGGTGCTATTTCTGGTGCATTTTTTTGTGCTATTCCTGGTGCTATTTCTGGTGCTATTTTTTGTGCTATTGTTTGTGCTATTTCTGGTGCTATTTTTTGTGCTATTGTTTGTGCTATTTCTGGTGCTATTTCTGGTGCTGTTGCTGGTGCTATGTGACTAACAATCACCATCAGCAGACCCACAAAAAACAGCACCCGGTAAATGCTAAGCTGCTAAAATTGACTGGGATTCCTGGTGCTATTTCTGGTGCTATTGTTTGTGCTATTTCTGGTGCTATTTTTTGTGCTATTCCTGGCGCTATTTCTGGTGCTATTTTTTGTGCTATTGTTTGTGCTATTTCTGGTGCTATTTCTGCTGCTATGTGACTAACAGTCACCACCAGCAGACCCACAAAAAGAAGCACCCGGTAAATGCTAAAATTGACTGGGATTCCTGGTGCTATTTTTGGCCTGTGTGTTATAAGGCCACGGCGTTATTTGACTGTTAGTGTGGACCGGCCGAACCCAAGGTTTAGGGTTTCAGTTCGACGGACGAGGGTTTGCTGGGGCTTGGGCCTTGGAGCTTGGGCCACTTCTGATTCAGCCGTCCAACTAAAAGCTTAACCCTTGCTTTTGGAAGCAGAAGTAAAGAAAAGACCAAAAGAAAAAACAGGCTTGAGACTCCCTTGGGATTTCTACGAACAAAAACTTCCTAAGCCCTAAACCCTAAACCTTAAACCCTAAACCCTAAACCGACTATATAGGTCGAGGGGCCAGTCCAGCCAGTCCCGACTTCGCCACTCGTCCAGTAGCAGGGGCCAGGACAGGAGGTTCGCGGGCAGCAACCTGGTGGCAGGGTTTAGGGTTTAGGGTTTAGGGTTTAGGGTTTAGGGTTTAGGGTTTAGGGTTTAGGGTTTAGGGTTTAGGGTTTAGGGTTTGGGGTTTGGGGTTTAGGGTTTAGGGTTTAGGGTTTAGGGTGTTGGGTTTACGCTTCGGGCGTACGGGGGTTACATCGAGGTCCTCAACCCTCAACACGGATCTCGACGACACCTTCAACCGCAAACCGCAGGCCTAGGGATTAGGATTTAGGGTTTAGGGTTTCGGGTTTCGGGTTTCGGGTTCGGGTTTCGGGTTTAGGGTCTAGGGTCTAGGTTTACGGTGTAATCATCAGCGCAGAGCTCTTCTCAACATGGCCCTCCATGCCTCCGGGAGCCCAGGAAGGCTCCGCAAACATTTTCGGGAGTTCAGGGTAGGGTTTCCCGAAACCCTAACCCTAAACCCTAAACCCTAAACCCCAAACCCTAAACCCTAAACCCTAAACCCGGGCATCTTAGCTCCTTGTGCCAAAAGGCGATCAATCCCGAAGTACCCTGCTCAAGCAAAAGCAGGCGGCTAGGGGACTTAGGGGATTTAGGGGATGTAGGGGATTTAGGGGATTTAGGGGATTTAGGGGACTTTAGGGGACTTTAGGGGACTTTAGGGGATGATGGAGCCTTAGGGATGCTTTTTGGGGTTTTAGGGGCTTCAGCGGAGCCTCAAGGGTGGCAGCAAGTGCCGGACGACTGCTGCGATTGAGGAAGGCGAGTTCTCCAGTATCAATCCTGGAAAGGTGCCACATCCCCAGATTTTTAAGGGACGAAAGGAGGGGACCCCCATAAGGGTCCTAGGGTTCAGAAAATCCCGAAAACGCCTCAAACCCTTACTGAACCTCCACCTTCGATAGGTGACGGGTGCAGGCCCGAGCTTACGGGTGAGGGGTTGAGGATGAAGGTTTAGCCTTCTGGTTCACGGGCGTTTCTTTAGGGTTCAGGGTTCTCACTGCTAACACGACGGCCACCGCCAGCCCCAGCACCACAACCACTACGACCATGACTACGGCTTCGACCACGACATCTCGCACTAGTCGCTAGCCACACGAGTCGTACTGCTGTAGCCCTTGCGAAGTTCGGCGACGTCCTGCCGGCAGCGGCAAGGGCGGCGCTTGCGCGCACCCTGCGCGCAGTTCGGGGAACTTCATTGCACGGGAACTGGACCCAACCCGAACTCTTCTCGATCCGCTTTGGATTTATGCAGAGACCAGTGCTACATCTCGAATCCCCACAACACTCTTGGGGTCCGAGCTGCCAGAGAACCCTAAACCCTAAAGCCTAAAGCCTAAACCCTAAACCCTAAACCCTAAACCCTAAACCCTCAGTCACTCCGTCGCCTCGCGGCTGGCGCAGCTCTGGGGAGGCTCCCAAGAGGTGTGCCACCAAGCGCACCTGGCAAGGCCGTCGGGACAAGGGCTTTGTTTGGAATCCTGATATAGATATATATATATATACATACATATACATATAGAGCTTGGCCTATCTGAACTAACCATAATTTCAGAATACCGCACACCCTTTCATGTGCGCATGTCATACAAAGATGTTGCGTTTTAAGGGTGTGTTCCGCAGCTATCAGGGAGGGGCGCCGTCACGCAGCCGCCCAGAGAGCGGCCGAAGACAAAGATGCGCGAGGGGTCGACCACGGAGTTCTCCTAAGCTTTGGGGCTTGTCTTATACCCCTTATATACCCTATGCAACCCAAGGGCCCAGACATCAGAACGCTGTAAAGAAGGTTAGGGACCATATTAAGGCCCCCTGAAACTACCGTTAGAGTTCAAGGTGTGGGACGTCAAGGCTGCGGATCGGGTTAAGGCTGTAAGCAAGCAGGACAAACCGGAAGACGACGGACGACACAAGTCTTAAACAGACGTAATATCGGCGCCTTGATACTTTTTATAGGGTTTGGGGGGGGGGGGGGGTTGCTATAACATGTGAGTAATTATTCCGCCCCCCATAGTAACCCGAGTTCTCATGTTCCAACTGCACCCGCCGGAGCGCCAAAAGCCTGAGCCCCTACAGCCCCGGCACCCCATGATGCTCTTAGTCCTACTTTACTAAACACTCACGGCTCTGAACAGGGCTGTTGCACCAATGTCCTCTCTAAACCCTCTGGACTCTCAACACCCTAAGATACCCCAAATCTGAGTTTGTTTGTTTGTGTTACTTTTCAAGGCCGGCCCCGGTGAAGTATGCTCCCCTCCTGTTAACACCCTACAAGCTAGCCCCTAAACCCTAAACCCTAAACCCTAAACCCTAAACCCTAAACCCTAAACCCTAAACCCTAAACCCTAAACCCTAAACCCCGCAAAAAGAGGCAGCAGGGAGTCGGAGGCCGCGTACGTCACGAGCCACTCGTAGGCCGCTGCGGCGTCCTCCACGAAGGACGGCTCTGAGCAGCCGCCTCCAACGTCAGGGAGGCTTTTGGGGACCTATCCCTAAACCCTAAACCACAAACCCTAAACCCTAAACCCTAAACCCTAAACCCTAAACCTTAAACCCTAAACCCTACACCCTAACCCCAACAATCAAGGGCTTCTGAGGGATATTGAGCGGCCACTTCGGCTTCTGAGGGGCTGCTCCTTGGCTTGGGGGACATAGGGTGTTGGGCAGTCGGAGGTGTTGGGCTTCTGGGCTGCAAGGGATTTGGAGGTTTAGGGTTTCGGGGTTAGGGTTTAGGGTTTAGGGTTTCGGGTTTAGGATTTAGGGATTAGGATTTAGGCTGTTAGGGCTAAGGGCTTAGGGTTTAGGGTTTAGGGTTTCAGGCGAACCGCGAAACAAATGCAGCAGCAGTAGACTGCTATGCTCAGCGCAGTACTGGACTGTGCTTTCAAAGTGTGGGTTCAGGCCCTAAACCCTAAACCCTAAACCCTAAACCCTAAACCCTAAACCCTAAACCCTAAACCCTAAACCCTAAACCCTAAAGTCGCCATCTTGTAGAAGCTGAGTTCTTTAGGCGCAAGGGGGTTGTTCGAAATTAGGGGTAGGAAGCCTTACAAGGTGGAACCCCCCCGACAAAGAGACCCCAATCTACAACAACCCCCACATGCTTCCTTCCTACTCTTCCAGGATTGTAGTGAGGTGGCTTGTTTCTCCATTCCGTCATGTTGTTGCTGAAGTTGGCTGTCCTAGAATACATCGACCCTTGGCCTGAAACCACACAGCCCCAAGTGGCCCGCTGAATTGAAAACCATAGCAAAACTCCCCCAAGAGAACTAGTTCATGGTTGGGATAATATTAAAAATTTAATTTGTAGTTCCTTATTGGGTTTGGGTACCCTTAAAAATGTAAAGTGTTACCCAACTATGACCAAGAAAACACCTGAAACCCGAAAAAAAACCGAACCCTAAACCCTTAATCCACGAAAGGCTGAGGGCCCAGAGCCGACGTTACGCTGAGGGAAAACCCTGAACCCTAAACCCTGAACCATGAACCCTGAACCCTAAATCCCACCTCCGTTCTCCGAGCGCCCGTAGCCCCTGTACTCCAGGGCCAGCACAACAACCTGGCGTTCAGTGCGTCACAGCTGGTTAGGCATGTGGGGGGTATTGGTCTGACGAATGTTCTTTTGTCTCCAATCCGCATGTATGCAACCCTAAACCCTAAACCCTAAACCCTAAACCCTAAACCCTAAACCTTTTTTCGAACCTCCAGTCCAATAGATGGCTCCATATTGCGGCTCTTAAGCATCTTTGGCCCTTCTCCAGTCGACACGAACGCATTGCAGAAACAAAGCTCCAGAATACGTAGGGGGCTTGGGTAGCTAGAATTTGCCTTTCGTGTAGCGAAGCTTATGGTTAAGGGGATGATGATGACACGTAAGTATTTAGGCGCCTGTATTCGAGCCCGAGACCTTCGGGGCCCTCAGTGATTGCTGCTTCTGAGGCGCGTCTAAGTGTCGGCAGCAGCGCTTGAAGAAATCCAGGCGTTGCGCAATGTCTCCTCTGCGGGGGGGGGGGGGGGGGGGGTCACCCTGAGAACCTGAAAACACGAAACAAATTCCCTGCCCAAACATGAGCGCCCGGAGTCTTTGCTCTTGAAGACCTGCCCCCACACCCCCCCCCCCCCCGAACACTTAAAATCTTGGCCGATGCCTTAAGTCCCTGAAGTCTCCTGCGTTTGAGTGGAAGAAGAGCACGGCTGGCCGTCTCTTCTCCTCCTGCTTCCTTGGGGCAAAGACATGGAAGGCTGAGGGCTCTTGGGGTTTCCATCCTAACACGGGCTCTTAGTGTGGAACGAGAGAAGTAGGCACCCTATGTAGCCTCATAAAAGGGTGTGTATATTATATATATATACATATATATATACACTACATTATATAGAGGGGATATATATATATATATATACATATAGGGGTATAAGGTACTTAGTCCCTCATTCCCTGCTAAAAACAAGTAGGTTTGGGGTTAAGAGTTCAGAGCATGCTTGTTGCCCTTGCAGAGAGCCTCTCGAAGACAGGTTTAAACCCTGAACCCTAAACCCTAAACCCTAAAACCTAAAGCCTAAAGCCTAAAGCCTAAACCCTAAACCCTAAACCCTAAACCCTAAACCCCAAACCCCATCCCTGAAGTCTAAAGGTGTGTGTCGGCAGCATTCTTTGAACTGCCAGGCGTTCCCCTGCTGCACGGCTTTCGAAAGAGAAACAATCACTTCCTTGGTTTCTTTGGAACATCCTAAGTTTGGGCGTTCAGGGTCTCTTGGGTCTAGCTAGGACAATGACAAAGCACCACAAACCCTAAACCCTAAACCCTAAAACCCTAAACCCTAAACCCTAGACCCTAAACCCTAAACCCTAAACCCTAAACCCTAAACCCTAAACCCTAAACCCTGACCCTAAACCCTAAACCCTAAACCCAAAACCCGAAACCCTAAACTCAACAGCAACGGCCCCCCAACTCCGATAAGGCGAGGCGCTGCTGGCCTAGGAGCCAGGCATGCAGCTTCGTGCCATCCCTGGGGGATTCCCCTTTTGGGTGGGGCCGGGGTGGGGGGGGGTAGGGTAGGGTTATGGGGCGGGTTGTGGGAATCGCGCCCTGGAGCTTCACGGCTTTACGAGCAGCCCGAAACCCTAAACCCCAAAACAGCTTTAGGGCTGAAGGGCGCGAAAGAGGCGTGTCAGGTTCGGGTTTAGGGTTTAGGGTTTAGGGTTTAGGGTTTAGGGTTTAGGGTTTAGGGTTTAGGGTTTAGGGTTTAGGGTTTAGGGTTTAGGGTTTAGGGTTTTGGGTTTAGGGTTTAGGGTTTAGGGTTTAGGGTTTAGGGTTTTTAGGGTTTAGGGTTTAGGGTTTAGGGTTTAGGGTTTAGGGTTTAGGGTTTAGGGTTTAGGGTTTAGGGTTTAGGGTTTAGGGTTTAGGGTTTAGGGTTTAGGGGTTTAGGGGGTTTAGGGTTTAGGGTTTAGGGTTTAGGGTTAGGGTTTAGGGTTTAGGGTTTAGGGTTTAGGGTTTAGGGTTTTTAGGGTTTAGGGTTTAGGGTTTAGGGTTTAGGGTTTAGGGTTTAGGGTTTAGGGTTTAGGGTTTAGGGTTTAGGGTTTAGGGTTTAGGGTTTAGGGTTTAGGGTTTAGGGTTTAGGGTTTAGGGTTTAGGGTTTAGGGTTTAGGGTTTAGGGTTTAGGGTTTAGGGTTTAGGGTTTAGGGTTTAGGGTTTGCGCCGAAGCTGGAGAAGGATATGACATGGCCGGACGGGCGAACAAACTTGAAATTTGTTTCGGTTCCGGAGCACGCTCAAGGCCACCGAGAATGGGGCCTTGCTTCGGCCACATCATTTCACGCGTTTCCCTCCCGCGCCGTCAAGTGCGGCTCCCACCCTTAGCCAGCTCCGCCTTTTAGGGTTTAGTTTCCTAAACTCATGTTTAGGAAACTCTCTTGTTTTTTCTCGCCGCCCTTCTTGTATGTGTTCTTGTCGGGATGTATTAAACCCTAGTCAAAGTTGCTTGTTTGGTCTACCACGATCTCAGTCCTCTTGCAGCCTGCTAGCCCGCAGGGGACAGAGGAGCAAATGGAAGGGTGCTATAAGCAAATGGAAAGGGCGAGCCTGGGCGGTGCTATAAGCAAATGGAAGGGGCCTGGGCGGTGCTATAAGCAAAAGAAAGGGCCTGGGCGGTGCTTTAAGCAAATGGAAGGGGCCTGGGCGGTGCTATAAGCAAATGGAAGGGGCCTGGGCTGTGCGATAAGCGAATGGAAAGGGGGAGCCTGGGCGGCGCTATTAGAAAATGGAAGGGGCCTGGGCGGTGCGATAAGCATAAGCGAATAGAAGGAGGAGCCTGGGCGGTGCTACAAGCAAATGGAAAGGGGGAGCCTGGGCGGTGCTATAAGCAAATGGAAGGGGCCTGGGCGGTGCTATAAGCAAACGGAAGGGGCCTGGGTGGTGCGATAAGCGAATGGAAGGGGGGAGCCTGGGCGGTGCTATATGCGAATGGAAAAGGGGAGCCTGGGCGACGCTATAAGCAAATGGAAGGGGCCTGGGCGGTGCGATAAGCGAATGGAAGGGGGGAGCCTGGGCGGGGCTATAAGCAAATGGAAGGGGCCTGGGCGGTGCGATAAGCGAATGGAAGGAGGAGCCTGGGCGGTGCTAAAGGAAGGGGCCTGGGCGGTGCTATAAGCAAATGGAAGGGGCCTGGGCGGTGCTATAAGCAAAAGGAAGGGACCTGGGCGGTGCTATAAGCAAATACAAAGGCCTGGTGTGTACAACAGAACATAACCCTCGCCAATTTTTTCTGGGCCCTTTTTACAAGCACGATGTCCCCGGTCGTGTGTTAATGCGTTTGCAGCGGACCACACGGAAGCCGACGTCAAAACCCGAGGTTTTGCGATTCCGAGTGCGCAGACAGATACGCCAGAGAGGGGGGGGGGGGGGGGGGGCGGGGCGCGCGCAAAAATCGCATGACGCACACTATTCAGGCGCGTCCGTCGCGAGGCAGCATTCTTGGAATTAAGGCATTAGGCATTAGGCATATTTGACCCCACCTGTTTTGGAGGTGGGGGAGTGGGGGGGGAGTGGGGGAGTGGGGGTGGGAGAGTGGGGGGAGTGCGGGAGCGGGGGAGTAGGGTGGGAGTGGGGAGGGAAGTGGAGTGGGGGGAGTGGAGTGGGGGGGGGGTAGCGCAGAAGCATGTCGTGATACAGTGTGGGTGAAAAGTGCTAGAAGTGGTTTAGGTTGGGGGTTTCGAGCCGGAAGCCTGGACTTGGGCCAGAAGAGGGAGTGGGGGAGTGGGGGAGTGGGGGAGTGGGGGAGTGGGGGAGTGGGGGAGTGGGGGAGTGGGGGAGTGGGGCGACTTGATCCAGGCCCAGGCAAGACCACACACGCGATGGCGTACGCTGCCGATGTGTTCAAACTCATAGTTTCCCAGGGGGGCTTCTTCGTCTTATACGTCCCCGCGGGGTATTATCTTGTTCTTGTCGTGGACCTGGCCTCATGATGCTGTTTGTGCGCACAGCTGCTCGGTGTTGCCTCTGCGCCTTGTCTTTTTGCTTTGTCAGGTTGTGATCGGGCCGGCCCCCTTGTGAGAGGCCGACTCCCGGGCCGACGACATGGACTACCTTCCGCGCGCCGCGCAGCTGGAGTGACTAACGGTGCGCTTCAAGTCCTGCGCGTGCAACCCGACTAGTGCGCTGTACTGTAAAGTTGTGTTTGAGACATGGCACGGTAAACTTCGTGTGCAGGGGAATATTGGATCCTGTTCAAGGCATTAGGACGTTCAACTCGTCCCAGAAATTAACTCCGACTAGCGTATCCGAGGCAAAGACCAGCTCGGTTTGGTGTGTCACGGCGGCATCAACATCTCAGGTCCTAAGTTTTGGGCAGCATTTCTACACCTATACAGAAGCTTCGTTCTGCACGGTAGACCACGTAATCCTGCATATACGAAGAGGTAGTATCTGAATTGGGACCTTCGCAGTTTTCATCCGACACACCAGACTCAGCGACGAATCAGCAAAGCGCGCATGCAAAATTGCACATATGTGAGGCGTGTCCTGGATTGGTCTAGGGCGCTTTGGATAGTTTGCCACTGTCGCACGTCTGCATGGAAACTGCTTGGAGACGATGTCGGCATGTCATTCGTACCTCCCGCTCCCGCATCAAGTTGTACGACGAAGACCGGTGAACATGTCTTCAGTGCCTCAGAACATGTTTCGGTTCTGTGTCGAGTTGGTTGCATCACCCAAGGCGTGAGCTCACAGCAGCCATAGGCTTTAGAAGATACATCATCCGCATATTCATAAATCGATAAACCAGAAAAAAAGGCGCTGTCTCTAACTGTCAACCCTGACCTCGGGCATGTGCTCGATGTCCACGTCGACTCGGGCTTGGATCTATATCGCAACGTCCGCGAATACGAAAAAGATCACGTTGAGTGTTCGTATGCATTGACAGGCTTGTGTGGTCGAGGCACTGAACTCGACATGCTTACACGGCTGACCCTTGAACCCGTTCAGGCATCAGTGCTCAGACTCATACTGTAAACCTGACCGTCCTCAGCTGGACCATGTGGAGCGGTAAGAAGGGCAGCGGCAAAGGCAAAGGGTCCAAGGGCAAGACTCCGGCTTGGGCTTCGGACGGTTGGGCGTCCTCGTGGTCGGCCTACAACGAACCTTGGAATGCCAATCGAGAGTCGCCTCAGGAATCTTATGCCTGGGGGTCTTGGGGCAGCGATGGCAAGGGAGGCAAAGACGACGGCAAGGGCAAGACCAAAGAGTATGTGCCTCGGCTCGAGGGACGCTACGCCTTGGCGAAGGCCGTGCTGCGTCCATACGCGGACGAGCATGGCAAGGCCGTCTACGCTAGCACCTCTGTCAAGGACCTGTTCGGCAAGGACAGCATGCGTCAAGTCCTGGACTCGCGCAACTGCGAGCTAGTTCGACGCCCTTCTGTAGGTCTCTCCACCATATCCGGATCGGCGCGAGCCCTCTCCAATTGTCTAGACACCTACTTGGAGGAAGGCGAAGGAACGCCCTCTGCGGTGTTGGGGCGATTTGCGGAGTTCTTCCAGACTGCTGAAGCAAAAGCCTTCATTGCAGCTTGCGAGGTTTTGGTGAAAGAGCGCACCTCGGAGACGAGCAAGGCTAAGCTGGAGGATGCGCTCCAGACATGGTGTATGTTCTACCGCACACACAAGGCTGTGATTTCCAAGATGCTTCCAGAGGTTCTCGCCTTTGTGAGCACAGTCTACCTTGGAGGCATCCAAATGCTCGAGGCTGTGACCATGTGCAACGCCCTCTCCAATTGGGCGCACAAGATACCGACTACGACGTCGAATGCTGCCACGCTGGGCTCGTGGCAATCCTCCCCGAAAGACCTCGGCCTCATGAAGAAATTCTTGATGGAATCGTTGCGCCAGAGACACGAGGACAGCGCAGGTTGGCATCGTAAGGGCCTTCAAGGAGGCGACAGCGACGACGAAGAGGAAGCCTGGGGCGTCAAGATGTCAAAAAGGCCCGCGCCCAGTTCTTCGGAGTCCTCAAACAGCTCGGAGAAGGCGCGCAAGAAAGCCAAGAAGGAAGCAAAGAAGCATGCCAAGAAGGAGCGAAAGACGGCGGAGCGCGAGAAGAAAGAGCCTGAGCGAGAGGGTGCGACTGGAGCGGAACTTGGTCGGGAGGACGCCTCGGCCGTGGAGGAAGAGAAGTGACACTCTCGAATGCGCGCCAGCCGCCGGCTGCACAGCAGCAAGCATTGCCCTACCCTTACTAGCCAGTGCTCCTTGGTGGCTCCACTCTTTGTGGTCTCGTGTTCATAGGTAGCCGGGGTAGACTCAAGCCTAAAGTCGCAAACTAATGCGTCCCATGCGTATTCTCATCGTAAGCCCATCAGAGCACCGGCGCTGTCACCTGCTGCACTTTCTTTGTTCTTTGCGGAGCGGGCCCTGCCCCCGCAGAGACCTACCTGCCCATGCCCAGAAAACGTTTGAGCGTGCCAGACTTTCAGATCATGATTGCATGTGTGTGTGGAGCAGACGTTGCCTGTCTCGACGAGCTTCAGCCGCTCTCCTTGTGAGATGTTGTAGTGCTGCAGCATACATTGACAGGCTAGCCTTGGCAGTGCGGTCATGTTCCATGAAGCAGGTCGAACATCTGCTGTGTTCCGATTTCCATCAACCAGTGTCTGAAAGGCGCACTCATGGCGATGATTCTGGTCGTCCTGGCGGTGTTCGTGGTGCGCGGGGCTAAGCCGTCGTCTTCTCCTGGCACGCGCGTAGGAATTCCGTCATTGCAGCAACCTGAGGCGCGCTTGGACTGCGGGCAACGCTCAGCTCACGCAGCTGGATCCAACCTCTTCGTCCTCTTCATCATCCTCCTCCAGGCATCCTGCGTCGTTGATGTGTTCTTCTTTAAGTATACACACACCATCTTGTCTGGCAGGACTTCGAGCCCAAGCGAGGTGCCTACGCCCAAGGTCCGGCGTCGCATGCAGCGCAGACACGCACCGCAGACGAGTGGGGGCTGTCAGCAACAATCTGACTAGGAGAACGGACTTGCAGATCGAGAGTCCTCGGCCCACGACATTCGCCATGAAACGGTTCGAGGCGTGCCATCTTCCTCTGCTTCGAGGCACTCTGTCGCGCTTGCTCGTTCGTTGTGATGGAGAGAGTCTTGCGTTGTCGAGCAGGACCCTCAATGTGAACGAAGTGACGACCTCGAAAGCCCGCGTTGAACGATCCGCCGAGAGGCCGCATCCTTTTAGAAGCTACACATGCAGTGAGAAATTGGCGAGCGCGCGCGCGCGATGACCCTTTGACTGCTCAGGACGCCGGCGCGTCGAAGACCCCGCGCTCGAAAGAATGACAGAGGCGTGCATCTGTGGCGTGTGCCAGGCGGTGAAGAAGAATGCAGAGGACATCGCGATCTGCCTTGCGTGCTCGCGCTGGATGGCTCCGGCGGTCCGGGTGCGGCGAACGAGTCCGGCTACTGTGTTTTCTGTAGCAGTGTGCGTTTTGAGCAATTGTCGTGGCTGCGTGATGGCCGCGTCGTGACAAGAGCCCTGGGATGCCTTTCGGAAGCTAGCAGAAGAGAGGCTCTCCGATTAATTGAGGTACATGGGGGCAAGAACATGGCAGCGGACTTCGAGAAACGTGTGGCACGTGCTCTGCACCGGAAGGACCCGGCACGCGCCAAGCGACGTGCCCGGGGTAGATACAACAAGAACCAAAATGTCCGAGGCAGGAGGTGCAAGGAGGAGGTACGCCGGAGCATGGAAGGCTTCGACAAGGAGACGGATTGTTGGGGCATCGCCTCGGTGGCGAAAAGTCGGAAGACCGATCGCAAAGGAGATGCTACGAGAAGCTGTGACGAGAAGCTGGCTGTCTCGGGCATCCGAGTCAGGAAAAAGCTCGCGCCTACTACGTCCTGGGGCGTGAGAACAGTGAGAACCTCGAGGAAGTCTCGCAAGTCCGACAAATCCCGAGACACATCTAGCACGGGTGAAAGCGCGCGTGCAACAGGAGAGGACAGGCCTCCAGCTGGTGGAACAGACCGGGAGGAGGCATCCTGAGCGCCGTCGCTCACCTGCCGCATTTTCGTTGTTCTTTGCGGAGCGGGCCCTGCCCCCGCAGAGACCTACCTGCCCATGCCCAGAAAACGTTTGAGCGTGCCAGACTTTCAGATCATGACTGCATGTGTGTGTGGAGCAGACGTTGCCTGTCTCGACGTGCCATTTCTACCATGGTGAGTTCGACACGTGATGCGGCTACAGCAGTCGGACCCACGTGTGTTTGCCGAGACGAGGTTACCTGTTTCTTCGAGCTCTCAACGCTTGATCTTTCTAGATCCCCGCAGCTCCTCTTCTCAAGTCAGCGTCGACAGCTCGGTTATTCGTTTCAGGGATGGATCGAGCGCATCTGCTGCGCCCGCTCTCACCCAGCTACTGTCTGTCAGGCGCACTCATGGCGATGATTCTCATCGTCCTTCCAGCATATGTGGTGCCTGGGGCTCAGTCGATCGATTCCCACGAACAGCATCGGCGAATCAATCAATGACATGCCTAAGGACAACAGTCGCAGTCCTCACAAGTGAGGAGCACCGCAACTTGCTGCAGGCTGGCTCCTTGAGCAGGCCTGGCCAGGCATGGCTGTCTACTCTCGCGTGTTCGTCTTTCAGGCCTTGCGCGACCTCGATGAACAGGAAGGCCACACGGATGCCAGGCTTGCTGCAAGGATTGCCAGGCTCGCGTGCGGTGCTCGGCTCGCCGTTGTTCGAAAAATCAGGTCGCGAGTTGCTGTGTAGAGTTGCAGCTACAAGGAACCACATCCCGGACGACGCGTGCGACGTCGCCACCGCACCGGGCTGGCCGCCTTCCTGCCTTGCTCTTTCGTGCTTTCCGTGTCTCGCTCTCTCTCCTTGCTCTGTAACTTTCCAGGTTCTTGATGCTTGATGTGAGGAGTGAGGCCTCGCCGCCTTCACCCTTTTCTTTCGAAGACAGGCCAGGCCAGACGCCACGCTTCGCTGCAGAAGGGCCAAACATCTAGCCGATGTCGTTTTCGAGCGACATGCATCCGATGCCTCGGGCATGTGACTGAGGTTTCGAATCATCGCCGTCAGTGATGAGGAGTCGTTAGCCCGGAAAATGTCGCAGAGACACGTTGATCATGCTCAAGAGCTGTGTACCACACTCAGAGACAGCACACTGTCCTCAGGTCATGCAACGATTCTCAAAGAGACGGTGATCCGAAGGATGCGTGGCCGGGCTCTTATAATCAACGATTGTAGAAGCTTGAACGGCTTGAACGCATAACCAATACTGTACTAAGGGGTATTCCCGACCCTGTCGGTGCATCACAGCGCCAGCCTTAGCAGAACCATGCGTAATCTTTGTGGCCGACATGTGGCTTTGCGCATAGGTCCGCATCGGATGACATGGAGGAAAACGCTGACCTTGTCTTGGACGTCGAGCAACAGGCCTTGACGGCGCGGCTAGCCGCCATGTCCGAAACGGACCCGGCGAGATTCCATGCATGTTTGCAAGAGATCGAGGAGGTTCTGGGAATAAGCGAAGTCGTAAAGCAACTCGAGCTTCTCAGCATCGCTTCCTCTTCGGCGGTCGACAACCTACTCCATGAAGAACTTTCACACGGAGGCTCAAAGGACGGCGCCGGGAAGATTGACGCTGACAACGTCGTCGACGACGGTGCAAGCGAACCCCAAGTCCAATGGGCTTTGAAAATCGGGCCACACTGGTGCAACAAGATCCTCTACGAGGGCAAGGAATGGGAAATTCGCGGTACGCATTGTCGAAAACACCTCGGGGAGCGCATCGGGCTTGCGCCATCTGGCAAAAACGCGCTTGTCGGAGAGGCTACCATTCGAGAATCTAGAGCCGTTTCCATGAAAGACTTGGAAGAGGCACGGCATCTGCATCACATCCAGAATGTCTGCGCGATTCCTTACGCTAAGCCATATGCGTGGATCCTTGAAGGCGTGCGTGCCTACGACCAACCCGTGCCGTACCATCACCCTCCTGGCTGCGTCAACTGGATTCCGCTGCGCCCGCCTACAGGGCCTACAGAGCGAGAGACTCCGGCCAGACGGCCTGCAAGATGCGCGGCTCCCGTGCACGCTTGGCCGCAAATGCTGGAGCGTAGGCAGAGCGGAATCGTGCAAAGGCCGGAGCAGCAGATGCGGTACATCCACGGAGAACGAGAACGGATTCGGCGCCTGTCCAAGAAGTTCCCCGCCGTGTACAAGGAAAAAGTTCGACCCGAGCAGTCCTGGATGACTCAGACAGCTCGTGCTTTTCGAACTTGGTGTGCGACCTCTTCGTGGAGAATGTGCAAGTGCTGCGGCCGTATGGTGCCCGAACCGTACAAAGCAACACACGCACGTGGCACTGCCCGCAGGGATGGCGCTTTGCCCGCGTGCAAATACTGCCGATCCGACGGCAACGTCGGGTATTGGGCTCCCGACAAGAATGATGTACCTCGCAGATTGCGAAGTTTGCCTGTTGAGGTAATCGAGGCCCTCAGGCCCTTTCATCTGCACAGGGGCGGCGACTGTCGCGCGCGGCACGGATACGAGGTGCACTTGGACATGCTTCGCTTTTCCTTCAAGACGACGTCCGTGGAGATGGCCTTGTCGCGCTTGCCTCGACGGGCGCGCAAGAAGGGCGAGAGGGCGTTGGAGCACCTGCTTAGGTCAGACCTGTCGTCGTACAAAGCTTTTTGGCGTCTGCACCACAAATTCTTGGAGAAGCGGAGGCGACAGATAGAAAGAGGAGAAATCGGGCCCGGAGCCCCCGTGAAGCGCCTGCCGGTAAGCTTCATCGAGACCGTAGGGCTGGAGTGCTGCCTGTGGCCACACTTATATTGGCGGACGGACATGACTGAGACCCACACTCGCTTCATGGACGCCCGAAGGGCGAAGCGTCGGCGCCGCGCGGGCCCTTGGGAAAGCTCCGAGTCCGACTGCGGGGGCGATGCAGAGCACAGGCGCCACAGCGCCAAGGCCAGCTTTCTCGCCAAGGCCCACTCCTGCATCGTCGGGTACAACAGCGACCCTGCTCTGCTGCAGTTTGTGCACGACTTGTGGCTCTTCACCACAGTGGGTGGAGCGCGGCACTCGTCCCAAAGCACCAGCATTCGAGAAGCTTTGGCATCCAAGCCGTACTCGCCAGAGTTATGGCGAGGCTACCACGCAGCTT